TGAAGAGGTTCGAAAGCAACTCCTGCAAGACGAAACCAGGACGAGGACAACATCGTATAGGAATACATCGAGAATCTCCGAGATCCGGGCTGCTCTGCTGGATGTCTCGGGCGCAGCGGCCTTCTCAGAGCGTTCCGGAACGCTTTAGAACGGATCTACCCTCGTCCTAGTCCCGTCCGATTGGGAAGTTATTCCTGGGATGTCTTCGCAACAACCAACAAGAGCCATTGAGGCGGATTAGCCTAAATTAAGCCCGAGATGTAGCCGGATTTGACAGAGTGAGGTGGACCCATGCCAAATTCCGCCGGATGTCGGGCACGGATTATGCCAGCATCGATGCCGAATCGAACCGCCCTGGAGCTGCATCCCGAAAGAGGGGAGGGAGGACGAGAGGGTGGGGCAGCCCGATCAATCAGGCTGTGCAACTTGTTCTGGATCCCGGGGCTCCCACTGGTCACGGCACCGACCTTGCAGACGTGCTGCAGCGGATTTGTTGCGCGGAAGTCTGCCCATGCAAACCCCCGAAACGGCGAGTGAAAAACGGCGTGAATTTTGCGTGGATGTTTTTTTAGTCTTCATTCCTGGCCAACAAAAAAATCTTCACGAAATCCACCTGGAATCCGGAACAAAATCCTCCAGGAGCCCCCAGGCCCATCCGATCGTTTTCCGAGCGCAATCCGCTCTGCGATGTTGGCGCCAGGACACTACAGGATAGAACTCTATACACCCACGCGTTTTCAGGCCCTGCATCGAAATGTGCGCTAGAGGGCGGGTCCTGGTGCAGACGGGACCTTGGTGTGTGTATACATTCTTCCTGGCTTGCCCGGGACGTCGGGGAAGGAAGTAAACACCACACCACCCCAGCGTCGTCCCCGACCCTCCGAAGAGTCCTAGAATTGAAAAGCAGCCCGCCACTGGCAATGTGGATGTTCCAATTTCCCGGCCACAGGAGGAGGAGGAGGAAGAGGAGGAGGAGGAGAAGGAAGGAGGACGGAAAAGGGAGGATGAGGAGGAGGAGGAGGAGGAGGAGGAGGAGGAGGAGGAGGAGGAGGAGGAGCTCGAGCTGCAACGCGGCAGCCTGGCCAGGGGGTGCCCCCCCTCGGAGGGGGGGCCACGGGCCTGGGCGCGGGCCGCCCGGGCGAGGTCTCGGGAGGCAGCTCCTGGGACGGCTTCGCAGGAACGACTGTAAAGGGGCCCAAGCACACACACACACGAATACACACGAATACACACACACACACGAATACACACACGGCCGAGGATTCCCAACATTGTTCCTATATGTTCTATGTTTTCGTCTTCCCCCCCACTTCACATCTGTTCCAACATTTTCCTTGGAATCGACGGTTCATTGTTTCTGTGTGTTATTGCCCCTCCTGATATTGAGGGCCATTAAACCCGATTCAAGGGCCACTGAACCACCTCAGGCCAAATGCAACCCAAGATGAAACCGGATTGCTTGAGTGGGACCCCGCGGGGAGAAACGGGGCTGTGCTGGATTAGGCTGGTTCTCGACAACGGGTGCATCAGCGCCGATGCTGGGTTAGACCTCCCAGGAGCTGTATCCCAAAAACTTGGTAAAAACATGGAGCAAGAGATCGTTTGACGCGAGTCGGGCTTCGGCACAGCCCCCGAGAGGGTGGTGAACTGGTGAGGGTCTCTTGGTTAAGAGAAGTTCTCAGAAGGGCCAAGGCGGATGCGGAACTGAGCCTCCATACCATACAGGTGTTCCGAAGGCGGCATGATGTATGGGTCAAATCAGGAAGATGTACAAATACTACGGTGAAGTCGGGCATGTCCCCCGACAAGGGGACCTTCGACTAAAAATGACAAATACTCAAACATATTTGACAACTGCCACAACATACTATTTTGGACGATTCCTCCTGTAGAGGGACACACCCAACTTAAAACGAAGGTGAATCAAAACACTTCAACTGGATCCACGGAGAGAATGATCATGACAAGTCTACTGCGGGGATGGGGGCACGGAGGGCAGTGGCACGTGAAGAAGCGCACTCAACGACAAGTGGCACTGCAAGGAACGAGGCCACGAACAAAACCACGTTGAGTAGGAGGACGGCGAGTTTGAGCCACTTCATGCTCTTCCGCCTCCTCCCGATGCCAATCCGCCTTATGCGGTTCCTCCTCTCCTTTCTCTTCTCACGTCTCACGGGACGAACCAGAGCAACGCATTCTCCTTCAGTTGCCCGGCGACATAAGAGAAGGTGTTAGCGTTCAGACTGGAAACATTCGCTCGTAGGCCGACTCTTTCCGCCTGTAATGCGCTAACTACGGCCGTTCCCAAACCAAACTTCGCTACGAAGTACCATCAATGGTTGAGATATCTGCGTGCGGATATCTGCCACCTGTTGAGACCGTACCCACACATGCTGTGCACGGGGATCCGATGTCGCATGGCTCTGCTGGACGACTAGTTGCGTTTGCTTTCTGCCGAAGTTCTCTGTTGCTCGTTCTTTCCAGCAATCCTGTGGTGTTGAACCCTCGCTTTTCGGTGGCGAACGAGGGGGAGAAGTGAGAAGGAGAAGGCCTTCTCAAAGGCTCGGAAGTCCTACGGCCTTCTGAGAAGTGTTCTAAGCCTTCCCCGAAGACACACAACAACTTATATGAGAATGCGCGAGGGCTTCTGAGAAGTCCCGCCGCCCTCTGAGATGGCCTTCCCCTCCTCATTTCCCCCTCCGGCCCCTCCTCCAACCCGAGGTTACCTACTCCTACTCATACCTCCTCCTCCTCATTCTCCTCCTGCTGCTCGTTATCCTGTTTCTCCTCCTCCTGCTCGTCCTCCTGCTTCTCCTCCTACCCCTTCTCCGCCTCAGCCTCCTCTTGCTCTTTCTCGTTCGCCTCCCCGACGGGCCCAACGCTGCATGTACATGTGGCCTGAGCCTCGCAGGAGCAACAGATGGGGAGGATCCCCAGTGCATCGCACCTTGAAGGCCTGAAGCCCACAAATGTTGCGGATGACAGCTCACCCTGCGCCGTTGCGCAGTGAAAACATTAGGTCCCTGGTCGTGGAATCTTCCCAGACAGTGAGTTTGTCAACTGTAGACTCTCCACTTTTCTCGCACCAAGAATGATGCCATGTAATGGCTACCCAAGAGCCGTTCCCTATCCATTGCCACCCCACCACATCATGTTTCTATCGTCCCGAGCAACCTCGCATTATCCTGCGAATACGGTGAACATCCTAACGGGTGGTCCTACGACAATCACCGCCAACGGCATGGCTCTTTGTCACATTCGTTCTACGTCGATTGCGACTCCGAAGCGCGAACGGCAATGTGTGCCTGATTCCAGGCAGCCGCGCTGACAAATACGCTCTAAAGAAATCTGCGCAGCGTGCGCAATTTCAATAACAGGCACACGTGTACTGCTCGTGGATCCTCAGTGTGCTTTACACAGTTAAAAGCTCTACAGCGGTATCAGCACTTTCGCAGCTGCAACGGGCTCATTTGGAAAGATCCAGCGTTAGTTCAAGTGACTTGGCGGACCCCGAACACACTGTTCACATCGAGGGCTCCTGTGTGTGCGTCATGGAATCTGGATGCACAACTCTGCAAGAGAGAGTCCAGATGCACATCACATGTGTATGCGCATGTCCTTTGCATGATCATGCCAATGCTTACCCCATCTCTCTCTCAAGAACCCGTGGGAGGGCGCCCGAAGTATACACCAAGTAGCATGGTCTGCCCACGTACACACGCAATTTGCAATGCTCGGTAGACGTCGAAATCGACTGGAAACTATGCATGGGAGCTGTGGAGTGCTATGGGTGTACAGCGAGCCATTCGTCGGATATCCACGTCTCGGCTTGCAAGGTCCGAAAGCACACTTGCCGAGGCGAAGACCACCCGCATTAGAAACGACTACATCGAAACCGCGACCACCTGGCCGACAGGCATTCCTACTGCCGTTTCGTGGTTGATCTGAGTAGCGAATATATGGTCCTTTCGTGGCATTCCTACTGTCCTTTCCATTGTAGTATCAGTAGCCAATATATGAACACTTCGCGAAGTGACGCAAAAACAAGCACCTGATCGCTGCCACCATACCTTCTCGACAAACTTAGCAACACAACCCTGATCTCGAAGCGTTGCTTTCGGATCCTGGGCGTGCAGGGCAAGCCGCTCAGACATCGGCATGGCTGAACTTCTGGCCTGCAAATGTGTGATGCGTGCCCCCCCCCAAAACACGACCCCAAAAGACCCCCAACAGTGCACCGGAATACTGCTACGCGGCGTCACAGAGGCCTCCCCTCGGGCACGCGCATACCTCGAACAGGGCCTCGCCATCGCTCGGACGTCCATTCCCTGTGTTTGTTTTTCGGTTTCGCGCGTGGTTTTCTCGCCAAATGATCAAGGATGCTCCTCGATGGTCCTCGCCGAAGGGAAAGTGCACACGTCCGAGCGATGCCAAGGGGCCTCTGGCGGGATGGAGAGCGCAAGACGGCACGGCACTGCGCACGGGCACCCTGGACCAGCAGATGGACCGCCAGGCCACGCACTCACACGGAGCCACTGCAGGCGCATCGCGGTGTCTGAGTCACCGCCACAGCGCCGCGCGATCTGGCAGAAAGAGAAGAAGTAAATGGCACCACAGTGAAGCTCAGGACCAGTTTCGCGCCAAGGAATTCGCATGGCCACCATGCGGACTCTGAGCCCCGGCACGCCCGCGGAGTGGCCAGGTAGTTCTGGGCCCTGCCCGTGCGTTGACGTGCGAGCTGCCTGCGGCCCAGCGTCAGGAGGCGATCTCAGCCCTCATCGCCGAAAAGACGCCTCTGGCAGCTGGCTCGCGGCGCGCCCGAATTTCCACAGGGCGCCGCTGTCGCTGAGATCCTCTCCTGACTCGCCGGACCAGCGGGCCAGCGCGCACACATCTCTACCTGCGACCAATGGCAGCAGATGTGCGTGCCCACTGGTGGAACAAGGTGCCATAACGATGCCAAAGTAGAAACGAGGGGGCCACAGCGTCCTTCTCAAGCGTCACTCGTTGAGAGGGTCCTGAAGCAGTTGCCTCTTGCGACGTCTCAAGAACCACCAAGCAAGCAGCAATATCACGGCGAGCGCGATCAGCCCGAGGACGAGGAAGGTCTCGATACCCTGATCCAGTTTGTATACCAGCAGACAAAGCCGCAACAACAATGCAAACTACCCAACAAAGTACCAACGTAAGCTGATCGCGTGCGGTGTCTCAAGGCGCTCGAACGTGAAGGATACTATGATCTGTAACACTTGGGTGACATGCAGACACAGACCTCACGACACAAAGAATACCACACCGAATCTTCAAACAATAATGCAACACGGAACTACAGGGACGAGATAACACGAATAGTTTTCCAACAGCAATCAATGACTTCCTTTACGGCATTCCACTGCACCTCGCCTCCATAAAAAAAGTAGGCTTACTGAGCAAGTGCGCGCGGACACCACAAGTAATGCGCTCACGCGTGCGCCTGCTTACGAGCAGTACGAATGTACGTGCGGACAGACTGGAGGAGCTCGCGCGCCGGAAAAACCCGATTCCCCCCTATGCCGCAACTTACGGGGAAAGGCCGCATATTCCAGAATGGTCGGGCCTGGTCGGGATGAAGAACTGCCACTCATATAAGAACGACAATTGCATAAACATCAACTTTTGGCGCTCCGCGCGCATTTCTTGGATCTGCGCTGGAACCCCCTCCCCCCTCCCTGGCGCGCTGAGCGCGCTAGGGGCGGCGCCGGAGGCGCCGCCAGGGTGGCCCCAGCGCGGATCCGGGAATTCCGCGCGGAGCGCCAAAAGTTTATGTTTCTGGCGTTTACTCTTCTTCGAACTCATGCGGAACCAACTCCGCATCGCACAAACGTTGGCTGGCTTTGGACGTACAGTTGCACGGCTTCCACCGGGGCTGTAGGCGACCCGAGGAGGAGGGAGGAGGAGGAGGAGGAGGAGGAGGCGATGGAGGCGGAGGAGGAGGAGGAGGAGGAGGATGAGGAGGACTGTTCGCCTAAGCTCTTCGGAGAAACCCTCCGCGTTGGCTGGCTTTGGGCGTGCAGTCGTGGCTGCGCACCGTCGGGGGCTTTTGGACGCGAAATCAGAAAACGGCCCCAACACAACTCAAACATAATCAACACATATACAAACAACACTCAAACAACGAACGTACCCCAAACATACGCCAAACTATATCACCAAATATTCAAACCAGTGTTTTTACTATTTTGAATGTTCCCCCTGTAGAGGGACAGGCCCGACTTAACCACAGTCACGTGGGTCAACACGGGCCAGTTGCCGAACGTCCGGCAGGCCCTGTGCATGTGCCCACCACGAAGAGCACTCCAGGAGAGGGGGGCGGCACGAAAAAAACATGAGAGTGCACCTCCGAAGCTGAGGCTGTTCCTTACCCGACAGGTTGGCGTGGTGAGATGTACAGTGGAAACCCAGTCCAAGAAACACCTTGCTCGCCTCCAGGGTGCCGTGGGGTTCTTGGGTTTCGTTGGTTCTGCGGCGGAAAGCGCGACGCCCCCATACAAACATCAATGGGCGTCCCAGGGTTTCAGGGTTGGGCTTCCTGTGGAAGGCTTCTCGTGGCCAAGGCCCCTACTGTAAAAGGAAAGAACTCCCGACCGCCCCGCACGCCCTGCACACCACGGCCGCAAGGCCCCCCGAGTGTGCTGGCACTCCCTGGGCATATCCTGCCCAGCTTCCTCGACGAAGTGCGACCGCACGCCGCGGCCGCCGAGCCCGGAGCCAGCCCCCGTGCTCCCCTGGGATCGCGCCTCGCGCTCCCGGGTGGGGTCCGCGCGAGGGACCGCACACACAATCCGAACCCCCTTCGTGTTAGCTGCATGCTGTGGGGCCTGGCCAGGGGCGGGGGGGGGGGGCGGCGGTGTCGTGGGCGGGGTGCGCGCCCGACGCGGGGGAGCGCCAACCAGGACGACGCCCGACAGCAGACCTTGCTCCAAAGTGACAGCCGCTACGGCCCCTCCTGCGCCCAAAGCGGTCCTTGCCTCCGCGCCCCGGCTGCAAAGAACCGGAGCGCCGACGGTCCTGGCTCGGCAACAGGGCGACGCGTGTCGTCCAACGGGTGGCGGCTTCCCCCTCCAGTGGATCGCGGCGCTGCCCCTCCTCCGGCAGCTCCGACTTACTCAGCGCAACGTGCTAATGCACTGATCTCCAGTGCCTGAGGCTGCCTGCGCACTCCTCGTGGTGAAGGCTCCCTGCGCGTGAGGCCTCGTCCGCTCCTTCCCCCTTCGGGGATCTACTGATCCGGGTCAATCCACACCTGGGTCAGCCAGGTCTTGCAGAATCCGGCAAGATCCTGCGCCCAAGCCCAGGTCAATGCGAAGGATCCTGCAAGATCCTGCAGGATCCTGCGCCCGAGCTAGGGTCCATGCGACCCTGGCCCTGCAGGATCCCGCAAGATCGGGTGCTCTGGCTGACCCCCGTCCGGCAGTGGACAAACCTCCCTTTAGTAAACCTCCCCTGAGTGAAAACGGCCCTGGACCCAAACCGACGGACCTGGACCCGCAAGAATGACGGCCGCGACGCCCCCATCGCGAGCCAAAAACGGCCAATTCCATATTCGACGTGTCAGGGTAGGAGGTCTATCCACCTCCGACCCGTCTGCATTGACCCCCGTCTCAAGGCTCCCGACCCCTCCGCGGCCGCCCATTCCCCGGGGACCATCTGAGGGCTTGGGACCCCATGCGAAGGCCCCCCACACCTGGCCAGACTCGGCGCGCTCCCCCGCCACACCGACCACGGCATCCCCTTTTTGCTGGTGAAGCCGACCGGCCGATAAATGTATATATATATATACATACATACATACATGCGTACATACACGCATGCATGCATGCATGCATGCATGCATGTATACATACATACATACATACATGCATACATACATGTATATATATATATATATATATGTTCCCCCCCCCCCACATGATCATACACATTCTCCCATCATCCCTCCAGTCATCATAACCCGTTCCTTGCCCTGTTTTTCTTCATGATGGTTTGCTACGTTGCAAACCGCAATTCCGTCGATTGCAATCCAAACACTTCAGCGCGAAGCGACTTCAGTCTTTCGCGGCGCATTGCAATCCAATCTCACCATCTCATGTTTATGATGCCCCTCCTCCTCCTCCTCCTCAGCATCCTACTCCTTCTCAACCTCAAGCTCCCCCTCCCTCTCTTTCTCTTTCTCATCTTTCTTCTTTGAAGCTTTCTCCACCTTCTCCTCATAATTGTCCTCTCCTCCTCGTCCTCCTCTTCCTCCTCCTCCTCGATACCAAACGCCTTGTCCTCCTCGTCCTCCTCCTCATTTTCCTCCTCTACCGTCTCCCAATCCTCCTCCACATCCTCTTCCTCCTTATGTTTGTCTTCTTCCCCCTCCGCTTCAAAATCAAATGCATTGGCCTCAACTCTTCTCTTCCTCCTCCTCTTCCTTCTCCTTCCCCTCGTCCTCCTCATTCTATGAATCCTCATCCACTTCTTCCTCATGTTTGTCCTCATCATTCTCCTCCTCCTACCCCCTCTCACTTTCAAACTCCTTGTCCTCCTCTTCCTCCTCCTCCTCCTCCTCCTTGTCCTCTTCATCTTCCTTCTCTGAATCCTCCTCCATCTCCTCTTCGGCATGCTGTCCTCCTCCTATTCCGATTCCGCAAATTTGAACTCATTGTCCTCCTCCTGCTTCTCTTCCCCTCCTCCTTCTTTAAATTCTCCTCAAGCTCTCCCTCATGTTTGTCCTCCTCATCAGAATCCTCCTACTATTATTCCTTCTCCTCCTTCTCTGAATCCTCATTCACCTCTTCCTCCTCCTCCTTCTCCTCCTCCTCCCAATGTTTGTCCTCCTGCTCATCGTCTCCTCCTCCTCCCCCTCCACCACCTCCTCCTCCACCTTCTCCTCCAAACCATATTTGCCCTACTCCTCAAAATTGAGCCCCTTGTTCTCCTCCTCCTCCTCCGCGTCATCTGGTGAATGCCGAGCTCCAGTGGCACCAGCCATAGTTGAGCAACATCCTCCCCCATTTTCCACCGCCTCTTCCTAGCTGTGGAGCGGCGTTCACAACAAGTTTTGTGAATAATGATTCGTAGCGGAAGGTTGCTCGCAAGGTTTGTTGTGGAGTTGCATTCGCAATTAGATTGGAGGGTAACGCCTCGAAGTGGAGAGGAGGGGGCTGAGTGATCAGGAGCCGTAGCAGCAGGAGGGGTAGGAGGAGGAAGAAGAGGAGGGTGAGGAGCATGACGAAGGTGAGGAGCAACACCTTACTCACAAAACTAGATGTGGAGCGGCGTTCACAGCTAGTTTTGCGAGTAGTGTGTCGTAGCAGGAGGCTGCTCACAAAACTGGTTGTGGAGCTGCGTTCACAACTAGATTTGCGAGTGACGCCACGAAGCGGAGAGGTGGGGGTAGAGTGAAGAAACGAAGGAGGAGGGAAGGGGGGAGGAGCAGGAGGAGTATGAGGAGGAAGAAGAGGAGGGTGAGGAGCATGACGAAGGTGAGGAGCAACACCTTACTCACACAACTAGGTGTGGAGCGGCGTTCACATTTAGTTTTGCGAGTAATGTCTCTTATCAAGAGGCTGCTCGCAAAACTGGTTGCGGAGCTGCGTTCGCAACTAGATTTGTGAGTGACGCCATGAAGCGGGGAGGTGGGGTTGAGTGAAGAAAAGAAGGAGGAGGAAGGATGGGGAGGAGCAGGAGGAGTAGGAGGAGGAAGAAGAGGAGGGTGAGGAGCATGACGAGGGTGAGGAGGAACGACATCACTCACAAAACTAAGTGTGGAGCGGCGTTCACAGCTAGTTTTGCGAGTAATGTTTCGTAGCAGGAGGCTGCTCGCAGAACTGATTGGGGAGCTGCGTTCACAACTAGATTTGTGAGTGACGCCACGAAGCGGAGAGGCGGGGCAAAGTGAAGAAAAGAAGGAGGAGGGGGGAGGAGCAGCAGGAGTAGGAGGAGGAAGAAGAGGAGGGTGAAGAGCATGACGAAGGTGAGGAGCAACACCTTACTCACAAAACTAGGTGTGGAGCGGCGTTCACAGCTAGTTTTGCGAGTAATGTTTCGTAGCAGGAGGCTGCTCGCAGAACTGATTGGGGAGCTGCGTTCACAA